ATATTGGAGTGGGTTACCATTTCCTTCTCCAGGGGATCTTCCTGACCCAGGAATCAAACCCAAGTCTCCTGCATTGCAGGCAAGTTCTTTACCAACTGAGCTATGAGAGAAGCCTGAGCTTTGTCGAATTTGGCTTTGAAACCCACACAAATACACGGGCACCTTCTCAAAGCTCAGTTTGATGGACGTAATGGTCATTCCTGGGTAGCACTTTAAGAAATGGGTGAGTGTTCTTCCTGTAATCCAATCACAGTTTCCACCCATTTCAACATTCAACACGTTTCCTGAATGATTTCCAAATTCCCCAGAGCTGAAATGGGCCTAGGGTCTGGAATTTTAACAACCACACCAGGTGGTTCCTCATGGGAAAATTTGGACAACACTGTTTCAGTATCTTTGGATCAACAAAGGTTTGTTTTACAGACCTCTTGAGCTATGTGCCTGCCAACAGCCACCCTTTGGGGAAGGCACAAGCCCCAGTGCCAGCTTCTCACAGTGACCTGGGAGGAAATGAGGGAAGAAGAATGCTTCTGTCCTGATCGTGTTCCTCTGTTCTCAGTTCCCTAAAATGCCTACCCTCCACCCCCAGCTCCATATTTTATGGAGTTTGGGAAAGAGCTTCTTTTTGTTGTGGTCGTTTTGCTTTACTTGATAGGATGTTTTCATTTATTTATAAATAAAGAATAAACATTTATTTATTTATTTGCTCTGGGCTTTCTCCAGCTGCGGTGAGTAGGGGCTACTCTTCCTTGCAGTGTGCAGGCTTCTCGTTGCTGTGTCTTCTCTTGCTGTGGAGCACAGGCTCTAGCACAGGCTTCAGCAGTTCTGGTGCATGGGCTTCGTTGCTCTGAGGCTTGAGAAATCTTCCTGGGCCAAGACTGAATCCATGTCCCCTGCATTGGTAGGTGGATCCTTATCCAGGGAAGTCCTGGTGAGGAGTTCCTGTATTTTTTACATCATCTTCTTCTTCTGCAGGGGTAAATTCAGGCAGGTTTGGCCAAGGAATCAACTGGGACATCAGAGACTCTGCTACACCAAGAGTTGCTCCTCCCTAGGCTGTTAATGTGGACAAGGTCTCAGTGGGAGACTGCAGAGTAGAAAGAGGTCTCCAGAACAACCAGCCCCAACGGGATGCAAGATGCAGTGTATACTATGATTACAACTCTGCTGAACTATATCTGCCAATGGATTAACACTGGAAATGAATAAGCAAAAATGAAAGCAATGTGTGATAACAGTGGTTGGAACAGAGATGAGTTTTCTTTTGTTATTCTCTGCTTTTCAATCTTTCTGTAATGTCATTAGAGAGGGCTTCCCAGATGACATTAAAGGTAAAGAACCTGCCTGCCAATGCAGGAGACAAAAAAGAGGTGGGTTCAATTCCTGGACAGAGGAGGCTGGCAGCTACAGCCGATAGGGTCATCCAGAGTCAGACATAACTGAAGAGACTTAACACGCACGCACACATGCATGCAGGATATATATGGGGCTTCCCAGGCAGTGCAGTGGTAAAAGGATCCGCCTGCCAACGCAGGAGACACATGAGACACGGCTTCAATCCCTGGGTTGGGAAGAGCCCCTGGAGGAGGAAATGGCAACCCATGCCAGTATTCCTGCCTGAAAATTTGTATGGACAGAGGAGCCTGGCAGGATAGAGCCCGACATGACTGAGCACGCGAGCACATCATCTGGAGATATATATATATATGTATATATATATATATATATTCCTTCCCCCTACCCCCTGATCAAGGGACTTTGAAAGAAGAAGGACTGGAATTTTACATAAAATCAGCAGGAAGCTCCTCCAAGTTTGCAGTCTGAGAAGTCAAGATGCAGCAGTCTTAGAGCGGATTTGCCAGTTCATGTTAGGAGTCCCCGATCTTGGACAGATCAGGAATATGACTGAGTCTGATCCTGAGCTTTGCAGAAAAAGAAATTCAGATTTCTCCAGAATGAACAGGAGGTTCTGGGAGAACTATAGATACTGAGTATAGGAAACAGTAGAGACTCCTCAGCTGTTTCCACTTTCAGTGGAGGCCAGTGCTTTCTAGAGGTGACAGCTTGACAGAGGATCCTGATAGCAAACTTGAGTATTCTCACCTCTGGGGAGTGTCTTCAGAGTATTTCTATGCTCTCAGAGTTGAAATGACTAAATCAAGGATTCTCTTTAAATTCTCTATTTATCTAATTTGGATACCTTGACATGTGTCTTTAAGAAAATTAAATTCTCTGTGCCTCAGTTGTACCATCTATGAAATTAGAATAATGTGTGTATGATATACTTCATAGAGTTGTCACAATGTATGCCAAGCCTTAGCAAATAATAGCTGGTTGTATCAATAATAACATCTCAGTAAATAGTAACAAAAGGTTATTGTAAATCTTGTGCTTATTTCAAATTGAAGCCTCTTGAAGATAATTTGATGTTGAACCTCTCCAAAACCCTGGGCAAAACTGGGGCAGCTCAGCTTCATAGGAACTCTAGTTTACCTCTCTACCCTTCGTCTTTCCTTACATGAGTTTCTCCTGAGTCTCTCTTCAAAAAAAAAAAAAAATTCCTATCTGGAATTCCCTGGCAGTCCAGTGGTTAGGATTCCATTGCAGGTGACATGAATGTGATCCCTGGTCAGGGAACTAAGATCCCACAAGCCACAGAGCATGGCCAAAAAATTTTTTTAAAGAGTTCTATTGATGTTTAGAGGTATCTTGTCTTTTCTTTTCTCTGGGATAGTACCCAACATCAATTTCAAGTCACCAGAATTTTTTNTGGGATTCTCCAGGCAAGAACACTGGAGTGGGTTGCCATTTCCTTCTCCAACGCATGGAAGTGAAAAGGGAAAATGAAGTCGCTCAGTCGTGTCCGACTCTTTGCGACCCCATGGACATGCAGCCCACCAGGCTCCTCCGTCCATGGGATTTTTCCAGGCAAGAGTACTGGAGTGGGTTGCCATTGCCTTCTCCTGCTGCCAAGCAAACAAACTTAGAACATCAGTCATACAGGAAATCTTTACTTCTGCATTTGCAGGTCAGCTGGATTTTGGCTGATCCAGGCCAGATCGGTGGAACTTGGCTGATCAGTTGAGTTGACATCGCTCAATCCTTTGTGACTGGTGGGCTGCTCAAGACATCGTCTTTACAAGATGGTAGCAGAAGCTCAGGAAAGCAGACCTAATGCTGAAGTGGGTAAAGCCTCTGTACACGTCACAACTACTAACATTTCTTTGGCTGAATAAAGTCCTATGGACAAGTCCACATCAGGGGGGTAAAAAATACACTCCATCTCTAACGTCAGGAACTACAAGCGGTGTAGATCTAGGGGGTGAGAAAGTCTTGAGAAGAAGAATACGGGCTACAACAGTGCCTCACAAAAAGGTTACATGGAAAGCACACACACACATGATATGAAGCTGATTGTCCAATTTCATAGTAACTATATAAAAATATTTTTTGCAAGTCAACAAAGAATAGAAACACATAAGCAAAATTGAAAAAAAAATTTGCCTGGATAACAAATTGATAAGACCTTTTTATTTTGCATTTCTCCAGTTCTCAAACTTATGTAATAGAATTATCTTACCTTTTTTTTTAATTGGAGTATACTTGATTTGCAATGTGTGTTAGTTACTTTTCTTTATTAAAGTAAGTTTTAGAAGCTTCTCACAGCAGGCATGTTATCTCACCAAATGAACTGTTTTATCTATTATATTAAGGGTCTGTAGAAAAATGTAGCCTTCTAAGTACATTCAAGTTAGCCATTTGTTCTTAGTCCCCACCAGTTCCTAATCTCAAACTCAAATCTAACAAACTTCCATCAACATGGACCTTTGCCTAAAAACAGTTTAAATTAACTTTATTCTCTTATTCCTTGTTATGACAATGTGAATTATTCTCTGCACTGACCTCTTTGAGGTCTCCAAAATCAGACATTCATTCCATTGACTAGAAGCATTGTTCTGGTAGATTCTGATTTTCTGAAAGGAGCAAGTCCATTCAATAAATAAGAATGGAGCACCTGTCATGTTCAAGGCACCCTACTAGTTACTTTTAGGGAACTAAAGATGTGTAAGTGCCATCCTTACTCTCAGGGGTCTCACAATCTAATGGGAAGAGAAAAGTGTACACATACATTTGAGGACAGAAAGAGCAGACTAGAAGAAGAAAGAGTTCATGAGTTCTCAACCCTGGAGGCATAGTGGAATCATTTGGACAACTTTTAATAAGTGCCCAAGCCCATGCCTGGAGATGCTGATTTAATTGGTCTGATGTCTGACTTCATGACTGTTTTGGTTAATTTTTAACATTTATTTATTTTCACTTTCTTATTTATTTGGCTGCACCTTGTCTCACATGTGGCATGCAGTGCCTTTAGCTGCAGCATGTGAACTCTTAGTTCATGTAGGATCTAGTTCCCTGACCAGGGATGATCGAACCTGGGCTCCCTGCATTGGGAGCACTTGAGTCTTATCCACTGGACCACCAGGAAGTACCTGGTATTTTTTAAAATTCCTCAGAGGGTTGTAAAGAGCAGCCAAGGTTGAGAACCCCTGGATTAGGCCTTCTACTTTAAGTTTGACTGAACTCTCTGCATAATACTGACAAAGACTCTCAAATGCAATCCTTAAGGCAATTAATTCTTTTTAAAAAATAATTTTATCAAAAATTATACAATGTATGCAAATAGTTCAAAGTCAAAAAAGGCAAATGGCCCTGAGGCTTGTGACTAAAATTCAGCAGTCCCCTGTTCTCTCCATCCCCTGATTCTTCCTCCATTTTTGACTCTTTAAATTACCTGTAGAGAATTCACACATCTTCAATTCTCCAAATGTTAACACACTGGTATCTCTTGCTTCATCAAAAAAGAATTTACTAGGATTTCCCTGGTGGTTCAGTAGTTAAGAACCTGCCTTTCAGGAAATGTGGGTTCGATCCCCGGTCTGGGAACTAAGTTCCCACATCCTTGGGAGCAACTAAGCCTTCACCCCACAACTACTGAGCCCGTGGGCCAACTAGAGAGTCCGGTGCTCTGTAATGAAGGATTCCGCATGACGCAACTAAGAACCGATGCAGCCAAAAATAAACCCAAAAAACGAAAACAGGAAGCTAATTAATTGTGGAATTTTTTTTCCCACCTAAAACTACCCTGAAGCCCCCAAGGAAAGGCAAACAGAAGTAGGTAGTTGGAGCAACAGGAGGCAGAGGAAGGTTCTTCTGTTCAATCCAGGAAAAGGACAGCTGAAGTCAGGTTCAGACTGGCTGACTTGGTGACCCACGCAGTTCAGAGAGGCAGCTAAGAGCACTTTTCTAAGCCCCACCCACCTGTTCTCCCACCTCTTGGAAAGCTGATGAGCTTTATCTTAAATGATGGCCAGAAGCATGTATCCACACTTTCTCCTGGATTTATGTTTGGAGGGCACCCTACTCCACCTCCAAAAGAAGCCAGTGAGGCGGGCGTATGTTAGAAACACGGGGAGATGGACTTATAACAAAGGATGCATTGGAAAAGTAAGTTAGAGTGTTATCCTGGGAAGCCCTGAAAATTAGTTTGGCTTGAAGACTTCACGGACTCCCTGGAGATACATTAGCAGGGATGTCATAAGGTCAGTTCTGTATTTGAGGAACACCTCTGTGGCTGGACAAGATGAAGGCTGGATTGGATTAGAAAACCCAGAGGCAAGGGACCCATCATAAGTCCCAGGGAAGAGGTGGAGAGGAGTGGGAAAGACCAGTGACACTGCAAATAGACTGGGTGGCCCAGTGCCAGGAGACAGTTCTGTGGCTCCAGGCAATCCTGAGTGAGCCTTGATGTCCTTCGCTTATGACACATGAAAGGGCGAAGCTGCCACCTTCCGGGGGGCAGGGAGACTCTGCTCTCTGTCCCTTACTATACTGTTTGAAATAATTTTCAGAAGGTTGCCCTCTTTTCATAAAACAGGTAGAGGTGTTTGATGGCTTTCGAGGCAAAACAGAGCTTATGAACTTCCTCTGACAGGGCGTACTCCGGACTGAGCCCAAACACAATATTCCTCTCCAGGCCTGAAAACTGCTGAATGCTGTCTAAAACAATGTGACCGTCCAGAACACCAGAGGCCTGGCTGAACACAACCTTTGTGGCTCCGCAGGTCTCAAATAATTCCATTGCTCTTAGCAGTGCAGGCTCATAGCGGCCTCGGTCCTCCGCTCTCCTGCACAGAATTGCTATGTCTCCAGGCAGATAGCCACACTGGAACAGGTGGTGACATCTTTCTGCCACGTGTCTCGCAATTTCTTCTGTGGTCAGGTTGGTCTCTGTCTCACACACCCCAGGCAGAGCCTGGGCACGGATTGCTTCCTCATACGAAGTTTCCCTGAATGACGCCAGTGTGTCTGGAGACACGCTGGGGTGAGGATTTTCCTTGATCCTCTTCATTTCTTCTTTCATGAGCATCGCTATTTCCAGAGCACAGTGGATCCCGCAGGTGATTGTTTTCCGAGGAAACTGAGCAGATGGAGGGGGGAGGCCGTTGCCATCTCCATGATGGACTTGGAAAGGATCCAGAAAAAGCCAGAGAATCCCGTGATGTGGGTTTTCAATTCCAGCAGCCCTCACCTTTGGGTGGGTGATGCTCTTGGCCTTCATGTACCAGTCACCATATTTACTGCAGAAATGCTCAGTTTCATCCATCACTATGTGCTTGATCTTTGGGAACTCCCCTCCCATAAAGGTTTTCCGGGTCACAGCTCGGCAGGTTGTTCGCTGTCTGTAAGGATTAAGGAGAGAATAGGGCTTCAGGCATACAAATAAAAGGAACACCATGCATTTATGACTCTCTGGATTGGCATTAGAGACTGGTTCTCATCCGGAGGCTGATTCACTGATTCAGTAGTGTCCTGAATACTACAAAAATGCTCTTCTTACAAGGTTCCTGACATTTGTTGTCTAAGTCAGGCTTCCCAGGTGGCGCTAGTGGTAAAGAACCTGCCTGCCAATACAGGAGATGTAAGAGATGGAGGTTCCATCCCTGGGTCAGGAAAGATCCCTGGAGGAGGGCATGGCAATCCCCTCCAGTATTCTTGCCTGGAGAATCTTTTGGACAGAGGAGCCTAGTGGGCTATAGTCCATAGGGTCTCCTGGAGTTGGACACAACTGAAGTGACTTAGCATGCATGCACAGTCACTAAGTCAGGTCCAACTCTTTTGCGACCCCATGGACTATAGCCTGCTGGGCTCCTCTGTCCATGGGATTTCCAGGCAAGAATACTGGACTGGGTTGCCATTTCCTTTTTCAGGGGATCTTCCTGACCCAGGAGTCAAACTCGTGTCTCCTGCTTGGCAGACCGATTCTTTACCACTGAGCCACCTAGGAATTCCTCCTGACAGAATACATAATTACAAACCCTAATCTTTGGAATTAGTAAGTTAAATCAGCATGTGAGACTTTTAAAGTGAACTCAGGTAGAAGATTTTGTTTTTTCTACTATGGGCCATTTCTACTGCTTAACAATCCTTAAAGATAAATTTCTTATATCTAAGGGAAATCTCAAAGTGAATTTACACTTGTTACTACTATGTCTTTACTTTCTTTTTTAGAGCTGGTAAGCAGTCACCTAGAGGCATATCATAATTTTCATATGAAAAAGAAATATGGGCTCCTATAAGTTCCTCTAAAGAAAATCCTCATTCCCCACTTATTTTTAGTACAAAACCAGAAGCCTCTCTAGATTTTGGTTAGGAAAGCATCTAGAGGTTGCTGAGTTCCATGACATGTCAGGATGTCAGGTAGGGTACCAAGTGTACAGGGCTATGCCTCTATGGAGCTACCATCCTACTTACTTAGCTCAATTTTCATTTATAGTCTATTTTAGCATATAAACAGATATACATGCATACATATACTTAAATTTTTTTTAGTTGTTTATTGCCTCCTCTAATTTAGATTCAAGTCATATCACCTATCCCTACAGATTTCCTGATTTTGCATATGCAGTCCCTGGGGCTTTAATCCCTTTGTCCAGAATCACAAACCCCTAGTCACAACCATTCAAGTTCTTTTCTTCTGGTTTGGACAGTGTAGACTTCTTGAAGAAAAGCGTTGATTCTTAGCCATCTCTGTATTCCCCTCACATTGTGCTCATAGATATTTGTTGACTTTAACTTGGCTTTTGACTGGGGTTCTCTTAAAACTTATCTATAAAGCATAAGAAAGAACACAGCTTCAGCACAGTCTACAAGATCCTTCATTATCTGGCGTCTGCTTCCTTTCCAGCTTCATCATTTGTCACACACCCACAGCTCCTCACTGCTCCAGGCAGACCTACCATTCTGATTCATCTCCATGCCTTTCTACTTGCTGTGAAGCTGCTGTTGCTGCAGCTGCTAAGTCGCTTCAGTCGTGTCCGACTCTGTGCGACCCCACAGACGGCAGCCCACCAGGCTCCCCCGTCCCTGGGGTTCTCCAGGCAAGAACACTGGAGTGGGTTGCTGTTGCCTTCTCCAACTTGCTGTAAAGAGCCTCCATTTAATGCACTTCTTCTACTGACTTCTTAAGAAAGAAGTCAGCATGTCCTTCATTGGAGAGTATTTGCTGACCAAACTACAGCCTGTTAAGTTTAAGCACATCTTTACTATCATACTAATTACACAACATTCCCATTGCTCATTTTCCTTTGTCTCTCTTACATGGCTTTATGGCAAGGTCTTCAACACGTTTTCCTCCTCCAACACTAAATGTACCCTACATCGAGCATATAAATGGTGCTCAAAAAAGATTAGCTTGATAAATAAGTCAAGCAAACAAAAAACTAAAAGCCCTCATTCGCTAGATTGAATAACAGCCAATTTCTTTTATTAAACTGAAAGCTAAAGATTTAAATCAGAAGCAAATGTGCATGGTTGATTCAGAATAAGTCAAACACATAAAAATATTTTATAAATGAAATCAAACGGTATTTAAAATCAAGTTTGTGTTAGGTAGAATGTCTAATTGACTGAAATACCCTATGAAAGCATGTAAATACCCTATTAAAACATTAAATATCAAGCAAAAACCATATGTGAAACAAGATGGATTCGTTTCAGCCTTTCTTAAGTTTAAAGCCATAGACGGTGGGGAAAAATGTTTCTAGTTCTATAAATTGAAAGTTATGCCTATGTGGCTAATTAATAATGAGATGTTTAACCGTGAACACTGCGAAGTGCTCTTGTCTAGCTCAGCTGCTTGATCACTTGCAACTGTATGCATAGTTTGGGCTCTTGCCTGCATGCATCAAAATCATTGCATAATCTTACAGCAAAGACACAGATTACTGGTGCAATGCTGTTGAAAGACTGACTAAATACATTTATGGTGTTTAATTAGTGAAACTCTTACGTCACAAAATCCTTTAAAACGTCACTTTCGCAAACATAGAGGATCTCCTTGGGCTTGCAGTGGAACAAGTCCTTAATTTTCTCCATGATCTTCATGGCCAGCACTGTCTTTCTGGTTCCTGGAAAGCAGTGGACGAACAGTTCTCGTGTCTCCTGAAGGCTCTGTGAAAGCAACTCACACTGCTCCACTACGAGCAAATTGGAAAATTCACAGCCCAGTTGGTCACTCAGAAGGGATCGAGAGCAGAGAGAGACCACAATAAGTGCCTGCAACAATTTTTCCATTTTGTCCTCATCGGCAAGCCTGTAGGGTCGGGGATAACACAAAGCGATTTCGCTGGGTTTGCGCTGTGTGCCAGGCAGGTACACCAGCCTCGGAATGACACACACTTTCCCCGTGTAACCACCAACAGTTCCCAGTCTCTGCTTTAACTGACGGGCAGTGTTCTGGGCATACAAAAGCCCCCCAGTCCACGTGGGGTCTGTTAAGACTGTATAGAGTACTGGGGGGCTATTCACCGCTATTAGGAGAGCATCACAGAGGACATACTGCTCCTTCCTTAAGCCGACATCACTAGCCCAGCTTCTGGAAACTATCACAAACCCCTGAGAACAAGGATATATCTGTGTCTTCATTAATTCCTCCAGTCCTTTATGATCTGAGAAGAGCTTCTTACAGAGGGATTCTGGTTTAAATTGAATCTTTTCCCGTGTCACTGAAAATTCAAGGAATAGAGGTTACTAAGATTTATAAAAGGATATTTAAGTATTCCCGCGACCTCATAACGAAATAAGCCTAGCCACGGAACTGTGGCTAAGATAAGTTTCCTTATCTGCAAATAAAACACCTCCTCTTCACAGGCCAGAGCTGTGAGGTCCCTTTTTCTGACAGCTCTCATGCAGGCAACAGAGTCAGACACGACTGAAGCGACCTAGCATGTATGCATGCATTGGAGAAGGAAATGGCAACCCACTCCAGTGTTCTTGCCTGGAGAATCCCAGGGACAGAGGAGCCTGGTGGGCTGCCGTCTATGGGGTCGCACGGAGTCGGACACGAGTGAAGCGACTCAGCAGCAGCATGCAGGGAAGGGCAATCAGGGAGGGGGTCTTCACAGAACAGCCTTCTAACACTCTGTCCTCAGCCCTAAGTGACCCAGTAACTCTAGAAACGTACTTCTGTTAAGGGTGTGTGTGTGAGAGAGAGAGAACAAAAAGCTGATGCTTTGGGGAAACTAAGAACTTTGCTTTCGCAACAGTGATTCTTAACCTGTGGCAAGTTTGCCCCCAGTGGGGTTATTTGGGACTGGCTGGAAATGGTTTTGACTTTTTGGAGCTGGAGAGGTGCTACCGCCATCTAGTGGCTAGAGGCCAGGAATGCTGCTAAACGTCCTGCAATTCTCAGGGCTGCGGCTGCTGCTGCTGTCACGTCTGTCGGGTCCGACTCTGTGCGACCCCATAGACGGCAGCCCACCAGGCTCCCCTGTCCCTGGGATTCTCCAGGCAAGAACACTGGAGTGGGTTGCCATTTCCTTCTCCAATGCATGAAAGTGAAAAGTGA